CCTCAATGTTCCTACATTTTCTTCTTTTCTTCTATTTCCTACTCAATTGTTTTTCCCTTTCAACTATCTCATACTATCATTTGAGGCTCCACACACACCCTCCATGAAATCTCCCCCACTTTGTTAAGTATTTTTGATAAAAGAGAGTCAATGGTATAAATTACCCTGATGATTTTGTCCATTATTTGTTTTGCATGCCAATTAATGTATATCCATGTCAGGATGAATAGAAACATATGAACACCTAACGGCATTTCTAAGGTGGGAGTTGGTTGGCTAGAGCAACAAGCAGACATATTCTTTAAATTTAAAAAGATTTGTCAACTAGAGATTTTTTTTTTAATGCTCTGATTTGATGAGCAAGGGAAGAGCTTCAGAAAAATGTATGAGAGTCATATTTATATGGTTGTGAAATTTTTTAAGCAGCAAGGATCTGAAACATGCTTTTTAAAATAGCCAGATAGAAAAATCTTGGTGTGAGCAATTTACACTTGAAGTGACTGTTCTGTCTTTAGAACCCTGGGGAAAGTGAGGTGTTTAATGTATCTTCCAGACAATTACAAAGCAGTCCTTGATCAAAACCCTCTGCGAGAGGTATTGACAAACCTGTCCAACTGCAAGAATCTCCCGTAGAGAAAATGATCTATGAGATTACCTGCTGGCGGGTTCATGGGTCAGATTGTCAATATCTAGAGAAGGATCACAGAAATAAACATTTAGCGTTTGCTGTTCTGACATCTATATTTATGGTCCTGTTAAAGCAGTTGGTCAATCAAAACCAGTTAAAGCAATTATAATTTTCCCCAGCTACATGCAAGAGAAAGAAACTGAACTCTTTGTGATGAGAAGTCAATATAGCAAGATAATCCAAAATTGCTTTTTATTCATGTGGAGTGAATCTGGTACTATTATATCTTTTCCCGTGTAATTGTCTGATTAGATGAATGCAGTGAAGATGCATTAATGTAATGAAGTCAAATACTCAATTACATTTTATTTTTTCTTCCCTTCCTACATTGTTTGAGATTCCCAAAGAATTTGAAACAGAATGGTCCTTTCCCTATTGAATTTGGCTCCTTTATATTTGGCAAATATTTATTCTTTTATCTATGTTTCAACTGGAGCTGCAGTGAATGGGTCTATTTTTCTCATGGTTTGACTTCTGCTGTCAAACAATATAGGTGATGTTGTTAGGCATAAAATTATTTTGGAGATCACACAAATCACTAATGTAAGACAGATTCTGTGCTGGATGTTAATGACAAACCCCTTTGAAGGGACAACAGAAAGTATAAACAACAGCGTCTGAAAGAGGCTGTGATTTCCAAAATGTTTACTCAGAGCTTGAAGACAATCTGTAAAAAGAGGTGTCAGATTGTACTAGGTTGGTGCAAAAGTAATTCAGGTTTTTGCAATAAAGGTAAAGGCAAAAACTGCAATTACTTTTGCACCAACCTAATAAATCTTCTGAAGGGCTAAAAAGAAAGACAGATACCTGCTTTGGTAAACTTGATATTCAAATATTTGAATGGGAAGGAATACAGCTTCTGATTAAAAGCTCAGTTTCTAGAGTTAGACAAAACTGCCTTTATCCAACATGCAGATTACATGACCTCAGGCAAGTTATTTTACCTCCCTAAGCCTCTGTTATCTCATGTGTAAAATGAAAATAATTATCAACGTTGCCTGATAGAATTGTTATGAGTTTTAAATTACATAATTCATGCAAAGCTGTTGGTACAGTGTCTGAATCATAGTAAGCACCCAATAAATGTTAGCTCTTGTTATTATCAGAATGCTGACTGGTGTTCAATTCAACGAGCATTTACCTCATGCCTTTTATGTAAGCAAAAAACTAGATGGCTTCAGAAATAAATAACACATGATCTCTGTCCTCAGTTCAGGAGGTTAACTCTAGTACTCACCCTTATATTAGGAGGTAGACTGAAATAAGTGTTTAAAAAAGATATTATAGAAATACTATTAGACCTAGTATATTCTTAACAACCCCTGCTTCCAATCGGACCCATTCTCTATGTGAAAATGGAGGGATCTTTGTACAACTTTTTAACATCCTCCTGTTGAACATAACATCCAAACGATGGACTATGGGGACTAGGCCCTGCCTAATCTGGTATCCAGGGTCCTCATTTGCCGTCACTCTGTCCCTCTTATGTTGCAATTCGTCTCCACCCCACTCCAGGGACTTTGTCCTGTACCTTCCCTCTGCCTGAACTGTTCCTCCTCCTTCTCTTTGCCTAGTTAATTCTCACCTTCAGGCCTCAGCTCTGATGACACTTTCTAAGGGGTACCTGCTTAACTTCCTCACTGCTCACTGCAACTCTAAACCAATTTCTCTGTGATTTTCTCTTGAACATTCTGTAATTTTTCCTTATGGCGCTTAAATATTTTCTTATATCTGTGTGTGTGTGTGTGTGTGTTTTTTCTTTTTTCAACTCTATCTCCCCACTAGACATAAATTTCTTGAAGGCGGGAACCGTGACTATTTTGATTATCATTGTATGCCCAGCTCCTAGCACTAAGCTTGGCATATAGTAGCTGAAAACCAAACAGCAAGCAAAGGTATTAAGTGGCAATTTTTTAAAAGGTCAAATCATGATTCTCATACAGGTATAAAATGAAAATGTGTTAACAATTTTTGTCATTATTATTATTATTTTGAGACAGGGTCTCACTCTGTCATCTGGGCTGAAGTGCAGTGGCACCATCTTAGCCTCAAACTCCTGGGTCCAAGCAATTCTCCTGCCTCAGCCTCAGAGTAGCTGGGATCACAGGCACATGTCATGATGTCTGGCTAATTTTTAATGTTGGGATTACAAACATGAGCTGCTGCACCCAGCCTAAATCATTATTAATGAGGGAGTCAGGCAGATATTAAACCAATTGAAAGGAGAAGTAAAAGAGTAAGTATATAGAATCTATGTATCGATCTGGAATATTGTAACAAACGAGCAAATTGAGAAAAAAACTGACTTCTTCCACAGTGGGGAGGGAAGTCAACTGAACCTTCACCTGATAGCATTGTTTGCATATTTATAAACAAGAATTGTTTTGCATTACTGTCAGTTATCTGCAACTTACAGAGTTTAAAATAGCTCAAAGGCAATGAAAAGCTAGAATCAGATAACTTGGAAGACGATGCTCTAAACAATACATGTTTTTCTACTACAGCACACATTTTTCCCTACAACAAATAGACATTCTGGGGGCACACAGCATTTCATTTGGAGGGGACGGTGAGAGAGTTTAGCAGTCATGATAAATGAGGAACAGTTGAGCTAAACCTTGAAATGTTGGTAAGGTTTCAATAATGGCAAAGCACTAGAGATTTTTGTCCTTCTGATAGCAATGAATTTTTGCAGGCAAGAATATAGTCTGTGAGACAAGATAAGAGGCCATTGCAACAGCCCAGGGGAGAAACTTCTAGAAAAGACAAGGTAACATGCATTGGGGAAGGAAAGTCCCTGAGTACTATTTCTGGTGCCAGCATTCCTTGTGTGACTTTGGAAGAGTTTACAGATCTCTCCAGGCCTAATCTGCTTTTATCACAGGAATGTTAATTTAGCACCCAGCAACAGGGTTACAATGGTGAAGGAAAAACAAGCATGGAACTTAGATTCTAATGTATCTGGGTAATAAGGAAATGTTGACATCCTAAAGGAGCTCCCAAGCTCTAATAAGAGCGTGAGTTGTAGATGCACTTTCTAACATCATGTTGAAATGAGAACAATTACCCACCATCTGTGATGGAGATTATTTAGTACATAAATAGTATAGGAAAGAGATTCCTTATCACATTCCTTATCATAATCAAATAGATGAAATATTTTTGATTGTCTTCTAGTACAGGGGCCAGAAAACTTTGTCTGTAAAGGGCCAGATGTTAAATATTTCCAGCTTTGCTGGCTATACTATCTCCATTGCAATCACTTACCCCAGCTGTTGTAGCTTGAAAGCGGCCAGAGACAATATGTAAACAGGATGTGCCCCTGTTCCGATAAAACTTTATTTTTAAAAACAGGCAGTGGGCCAGATATGTCCCAAAAGGCCATATTTTTCTAAACCCCATTTTAAAAGGTGGGTGGTTGGGTACAAAGAAGATCATTAGAATTGTGAATGATCCTTTGAGATACTAGTCTCTAGAGAGTAGAGATCATTTTATTTATCTTTGTTCTAAACAATGACTTACACATAAATTATCAGTACATTGTAAAAGAAAAAAAAAACTTTTTTTAAATGATTCATCCTTCTCTGAACTTTCAGAGCAATTTGTCTCTCTTACAGAATTTATCACATCTTACCTGGTTTTAGAGTTACCCCTGCAAATATCTTTATTCCCTACTATGATCTAAACTCCTGGAGGAAAGATATCATGCTATTTTCAGTGTTTCCATTTGCTCCCTGAGAGGTGCTTTAAAAAGTGTTTCTTGAATGAGTGAATGATTTCTTCTGTATTTTTGTTGTTTATCAATTTTATTTCTAATCTTTCATGGCCTCAATAAAATGCAAGGGCTTCCCCCTTGAGCATGATTAGCAATATCTCAGCAGTTTCCCCAGGAATGAGACCTCTGTCAGAGCAGGATGCTTGCCTGTGATCATAGCTGTCTGTTCCTCACCATTCTCTTTACTTTGTGGGGCTACTCTTGAATAACTGATTATTTGCTTCTTAGGAAATGTCCTTTTAGTGACTGACCGTGACCCATTTAACATAATTCAATATAGTGTTCCCATATTTCCCCCCTGGGCTGTCCTATTCGCGTGTCTGAGAGCTTCTTCTTTATGTAAGAAAGGAACAGTGTTTTGTTGTGGATCATTTTATATACCAGACAATGAAATGTCAATGGAGATAGATGTCAGTTGCATTCAAATTTCTAGTTTATTTGTTTTTATTTTTTTTAAAATTGTCCTTAAGTGTTCCTTCCCTTGTGAGAACACCAAGGCCTTATTTCCCTGCCTACTAATAGCTTTTTCATGAAGTGAATTTTTTTATTTTTCCTTTTCTTTTTTAGCTTTTAAGCAGTACCAGATGTTGAAAGAACTTTCTCTGATTGGTGTCCAGAGAAAACAAAAAGCATGTATCACTTCAGGCCTGACCTGCAGAAGGAGAAAATGGACTCTACAAAGGCTGCCAGAATTAAACACACTACAGATGGTATAAAATGAACATTTTAGAGTTGTGTGTTTTTACCCCTGTGCTTTCATTGTTCCGTTTCACACCTGATTACAATATTAACTTTTGTTAAGAAAAGATAAAGTAAAAAACAGAAAAGTCACAAGAAAAAGATTTTATCTTAGACATGTCTTGGCTTATATGATCTCAGGCCACAGTTTACCAAAGGGAGCTCCATGTTCACTCTGTGGGACGTTGAGGGACGTTTTGAAAGGGGAAGGGGGTTTTGTGATCAAGTGCTATAGTTTGAATGTATGTGTCCCTACAAAATCCGTAAGTTGCAAGTGAAATTCCAAGGTGATGGTAGAAGGTGAGGCCTTCTGATAGAAGGTGATTAGATCATGACAGCTCTCCTCTCCCAGATAAAATTAATATCCTTTAAAAAGCACTGGAGGGAACTAATTAGGCCTTTTTCCCTTCTGCCTTCTGTCATCTGAGGACATGGAGTTAACTCTTTCTGCCACGTGAGGATGCAGTAACAAGAGGCCACCTTGAAAGCACAGAGCACCCCCACCAGCCACCAAATCTGCTGAGGACTTGATCTTCAACTTCCCAGCCTCCAGAGCTCTAAGGAATAAATTTTTCTTTTTATAAATTTCCTAGTCTCAGGTACTTTTTTATAGCAGCACAAATGGACTGAGCCACTAAGTACATGTTAGATCTGATGGGATAAACAAGTTAAGCAAGAGACCAACCGGTACCAGAAACCTCCAAAGGGGTATATATAGTTTTGGCTTTTCTCATAACCTGCACAGAATACTTCTATTGTAGAATATTTTATAAAATAATTGCCCTTGGCATACACTTGAGAAAGTGCCTTGTGCTAAAAAAAATAAATTTGCTTAAAAAAAGTAAGCCCATGATTTTTAGTGTCATTAACTCTATAGTATTAACATTAACATGTATGTGTGTTAACAATGTTGATATACATTAACATAGTATAAAAGATAGCCTGTCCTTATCTCCTGTCTCCAAAGAGTATGCAGTCTGGTTGGAAAGTATGGCACACACACCTAAAAAGTTATTTAATGTGACAGTGCCAAACCAGTGGTCAAGAAAACAATCACTCTACAACTTTTTTTAAAACTATATGTGGTGGTGCCATGGAGATTCTCTGAAGGTACCACAGGGGCACCGCTAAGGCAGGAATAGCTAAGGAGAAAGTCAACCAGGAAGGGCTTAAGTTCCTATCCTTGATTTAGAAAATAAGATGTCACTTGAAGAAAAAAATCCCTGTAAAATGCTCAAATGATTAACAGATACTTTTCCACTCAATAAACGAACTGAGGTTGCTGCTGTCTCTGTTTGGTTTCCACGGCTGAGCAGACTGCTCCTTCTTGCCCTTGGAAGAGGCAGAAACAGGAAAATAGGTAGTCAAGCAAGATAAGAGGAAGTCAAGCAAGATAAGAGGAAGAGGTGGAAAGAGAGCATGAGAGAAGGTAGAGAAAGCTACATAAGAAGCAAGTGGGGGAAAACAAAATGAAGAAGGAAAAAAGGACGAGAGTGAAAGAGAAAAGTTCCCAGAGCCGCAGGTGGAGGAAGCATTTTAGGGGGTTTTCCTGAGTGCAAGGCTCTGGGTGGTACAGGGTGGGGAAAAAAGAGAAGAGAGAAAGGGGGACCCAAGAAACATGGATGGGATTATGGAGTAGTATTGTTCATGTGTTTAAGATGAAAAATAAAACTCCCTTTTTAAATGCTATTTAGGACTATGCTTTGCTTGAATGTGATTCCATGTAGATATTGGATCATGTAGGCTCAGAACTCATAACAGTTACACAGATAAATGTGCCATTTGCATTAGGCTTTTTGAAATACTGCAAATAGCTTGAGGACCCCAATATTAACTTTGAGCCTTCTGAGGTGTTCAAGGGCGCCAGGGTGGAAACTCATTCCTTTGATGATGTTGACAAAACCGTGAAGGACTTTTAAAAGTCTAATTAGGAAGTCCAATGAGATTAACTGCTTTATTATTTGTACCGAACTTGATAAACAATCTGAAATGGTTTGCGTTTTCATACTTAGAATCTCCTGATGCCAAGCCTTGTATCTTGTTTCTAGTTGCTATAGAAATAGTGCAAGGAATCGACTGATTTGTTCAGAAGAATTTATTTCTTTCTGACACCATTGCCTTTAAAAGCAACATTCAGATTATTTATAAAAATTGGGTCATTGCACTGTATGGTAATTATAAATGCTACTATTTTAATTGAAGGCTATGAATAAGACACTTCTGATTTTATCTTGGTTAGATTTGATGGGTCCTTTGAGGTTCTTTTATATCTGGATGTCTAACGTAATTCTCAAGGGTCTTTTTTCCTTCTTTTCTTTCTCCTTCTTTCCCTTCCTTCCATCCTCCCTCCCTCCCACCCTTTCTTTCTTCCTTACTTCCTCTTTCTCTTTCTCCTTCCTTCCTTCCTTTCTTTCTTCCTTCCTTCCTTCCTTCCTTCCTTCCTTTTTTCCTTCCTTCCATCTGTTTCTATTAGTACTTTTTCCTGGCAATTCCTTTCTTAGACACTTATAGTTAACTTCAACCAAAGAAGGAACCCTTTATTTCCATCCATGCTGCTTTCTGGAACCACTCATCTTGCTGCTAACAACCATTTCATTTTGGGTGTCTTAAGGGATGCAAATTAATGGAGAAAAAATTCACTGCCTTCCAGAATCATCTCCTGTCTTGAATTTATGGCCCTTGGGAGGCCCAGGGCATGATTTTGAGGTAATTTTCTCTACATACTGTGACAAGAATGAACTTTTGAGAACCAAAAGTGCTCGTTTCTTGCCATACTCAGGTAAGGGGGTCAGAATGCCGTTATCTCTCTCCTGACCTCAAACAGAATTTGTGCTCTCCCCTGTAATTAGAAGTATTCAAGGGGAGTCTTGGGTAACTCAGGTGCAGATGGCCCAGGTCTTACTACCACAGATGAAATGATGATGCCTTTTAAAGAGACTGTGAAGATATGCTGCTTCAAATTTCCTTTTTGTTCCTTGGTTTTGTCTTTCTGTCATTCATAAGCCACTTTATCATCTTAATACATGAAATTCTGAGGCCAAGTCTGTTGAGAGTATTGCTTTCCACAGAAGACTGTATATCGTAGTTTCAGCTGCACAATATTTTTTTTGCTACATTTTTGCATATGGCAGTCTCTGCAGGCACATGTTTGACTTCTTAATATAAGGGTCCAAGGATTTGAGAAGAATTTATTTTGAAGAAATCCTACAATACTTCCTTTTCCCCAGAGCCCATGAGCTGAAGTTATAGGAATTATGGGGGCCAAAAGAGAATTTAACCATCTATTTTTGTGGAGACGTCTGATGAGTAGAAGGAACACTCAGACATCTTTTCCCAGCTTCTCCTCTTTCTTTCCTCAACAAGAAGGTTTAGAAATAGCAATTAAGAGTCTTGCTGTTTTCTCAGTTCTGCTGCTGCCAAACTTAGCACTACCTATATTACTTGGCCTGAACAAAAACCAGTCCCCTCCTCATTTTTCTTCAGTTCTTCAGTTATTTGCTTACAAATGGCTCATTTAGCTGTTCTTCATTTACAGGAAAGCTTTCTGGGACCTCATCAAACTCCTCCTCTCTCACTTTTAAATCTCCCCCCAGGTTCCTTTCTCAACTACTTTTAAAAATCCTTTTCCCTCAGAGTGACTCTGAACCCACCACCTTTCTTTTCAAAAATGATGTCACACACATTTCCATATCCAAATTGTGATTTCAAGATATTGTATGTAGGAGCATAAACAAGATGGGAGGAACTTTAGAGAAATAACTCTCTGTGGTGTGTATGTATTTGTTTACCATGCAACTACACAAAGTGGAAAGAAGTTCAGAGAGCTTGCCAAGAACTTTCCAAAATCTTCATCCAAAGCCCTGGACTGGAACACAAATTGAGAATTGCACTTCACACACACACACACACACACACACACACACACACACACACACAGAGTGAATAATGCTGCCATGAACACCAGAGCACAGGCATCTCTTTGGCATAAAAAAAAAAAAAAATTAAAGCAGTAGCAGCCATTTATCTTGCTCTGAAGATTGACTGGCTCTTTCGGGTAGTTCTTGCTCAGGGTCTTTCATAAAGCTGCAGTCAGATGGAGATTGAGGCTGGTGTCATTTTGAAGGTTTCTCACTTATATATCTGGATCTGGGCTGAGAATGTTCAGGAAGCTGGGAGCCAGAACCGCTGGGGTTCCTGGGACATCTTTTTCTCAATGGGGTCTCTTTATGTTGTCCTTCTACATAGCCACCTCGCAGTAGCCATACTTCTTACATAGTTGGTGAAGGCTATCAGAAGGAGTGCCAAAGAGAAACCTGAAGACATGGCATGGTTTCTTGCCACAAAAGTTACCCAGTATAACCTCCATAACATTCTCCTTGAGACCGTCACAATGGCTGACCCAGTCTCATACAGAGAGTACCAAAGCATTTGCAACATGCTTTAAAACATCCAGAGCCACACAGAATACTGCTGACTCTATTTGCCTTGGGGTTCCACAGTCATCTTAACACTTGATGGTTTAGAGAAATGTCTTCTTTCTCTTATTCTTTTAAAGTCTTTTTCTTCATCCATCTTCATCTGGGACACCTAGCATTATTCTTACAATGGTCTCAGATCAAGGATGGCAGATAAGAAGGCACTCAAAGGTTTATGTGTATTAATATAAAGACTGGTATAGGGACTAGGATAAAGAAATAATTCTTTATCATAAAAAAGTCAAGGAAAAATATAATGTCATCTAACAGCTGCATTTATTTCAGAAGATAACAAGGAGTAGTGGGAACTGGGGAAAACTGTTTAAAACAGGTATTTGTTGTTCAGCTGTAGCCAGTTGTTATCATGAGGGATGTAGGCCCCATTGTGCCAGATCTGCTTATTTTTTAAAGAAAAGTCAGGAATCTGTGTTTTTATATAAAACACCCTGATTGTTAAATACTGGTTACTAGATCAAATAACATCACTTGGGCCAAGCAAAATGTGTCATTGGCCATATTCAAGCTTCCAGATGTCAGCTTGCAACCCCTGCCTTGCATTTCAGAGGAAGGGCGAAGAAAAGTTGATTTCAGGCTACTTCTGATTTCTTATGTATGAAAATTGAAAAAAGCTGTCTATAGGGGAATGAAAAAATAAGAATCTATAGGGAAAAAAATATAAATTAATATTTCAGTAAAGTATCCTGCCCCATGGTGTTGTATACCAGGAGTCAGTAAACTATGGTTCACTGGCCAAATCTAGCCCACTTCCCTGTTTTGTAAATAAAGTATTATTGAAATGGAGCCACACACATTTGTTTCTGTGTTGTCTGGTTTCTCTCATGCTATGATGGTGGAGTTAGTAGTTGCAACAGACTGCAGCTTGCAAAAGACTAAAATGTTATTATGTGACTCTTAAAAAAATGTCCAATTTCGGATGTATATCATCCTACACAGTGTCATTGGAGGTAGGAATCATAGAAACTTAAAACTAAAAGCTCTTAAATCCATTTGCTAACTTTCAGACTACAATAAGGATATTTTCATTCTAAGAAAAGGTTATGATTTGGCTGGATTGCTGGTAGCAACTGGGTGTTCCTGCTGAGCTGGGCC